CATGAGAAGGACAAGCAGAGAGATCAAGGCGTGCGCACACACTGATCACGTACAGCCTAACCGGCAACGGGAAGACGGCTCGGCTCAGCCTAACAGGCTCCGGAAGATAAAGAAGAGCTCATTATGGGCTTTGAAGTGTCTTTAGCTCATAAGCACACAGATCTGCATGCACCATGAAATTCAGGCAGGAGGGAGCCGGGGAGATAGGAAGAAGCCGAAGCCAAAGCCATAGAAGGGGAGAAAGAAATGAGGCCAGATGATCTATGGCAGAGGGAGCCCTCACTTCTTGGGTGGCATGTCCAGCTCTGTCGGGACTCGCTCCCGGTCCTATTCCTTCTATGGATGCCCTGTCATGGACCAGAATCCGGGTGTGGCAGGGGCTGTACAGACTGTCATGTGGTTCGATTTAGTTTAGATCCAAGGGAAACCAGGACACTTCAGGGCCACTTAACCACTTTCTCATTTATTGCAAGCTTTAAGCAGTTAATACAGCTGTTTAAAGTTGACAAGCCTTAAGAACAACGACTATACAATCTAAACCTGAAATACAATACCTTGTAAAGCAAATGATACAGCGCAAAGCAATGCAAAAGCAGTTACTAGATCTACTCTATACAATAATGAAGCCTAATTCACTCACACATCACCTGTATGCTACCTACAGTGCCAGGCAGGAGGTCGTGGGTCCGTCTTTTCCCACCCTTAGGAACGCCAGCACTGACGTAGCCGGCGTGAAAGGCCTAATCACTTCTAGTTACCTCGAGCAGAACATGTGGGTCAGACCCTCCCCCCGATTGTTCTTACTACACCCAATTTATAGCAAAGTGAGACGTGGTCGTTCTAATCGGATTTACCAATTGATTGTTGTGTAGGATACGTCACATGCCCCAATGCCCCTATTTGGGGTAGACCCTGCTATCCAGGATGTTGCTGCTCTGTGCGCAATTAACAGTTTCATGGCTGCAGCTGTACTTTTTGTTCATCAGAAACAAGTACCAGGGCAAGGCTGCTTGTCCTGTGTGCCTGACGTGGTCTCACGTACCCTGCTTACTCTGCATTGTTACACAAAACATTTCCTGACTTTCGGGCCTTGCCTGCGAGCTTTGGCACACCAGACTTGAGACAGGCCAGAAATCCACACTTTGGACAAGGCAGACATCACCAGTTCTTGCCAAGGCAGGGCGGTGCAGGCTGCCCCACACAGACAAAACCAAACCAGCCCCCTTCCCCTAGCTCACAGTCCCTAGCATCCACATCGCAATGCTGCTGTCACCAGACTCCCGCACTGGCCATCTCAGCCGGGAGGGGAAGGACAAAGGCTGCAATCCAGCCCTAGCTTTCATCACGGGACCCCTGTGAAGCCCGGGGGCCTGGAGATCAAACTCCCCCATCCCCTCTCCCAAAACGAGCTGGGGACAAGGCTGGGATTGAAGCAGGAGCAGTGTTCCCTGTACGCTGAGTGCTTGGGAGGATGCCCAGGAGAGATTCCAATGCTGCCCAACTGATTGGCACAGCATCCAAAGCCAGCAGTATCTTTTTCTATTGGTGGTGCACATCTGCACTTTCCCTGGTACATGCAACAAAATGTATTCTGCACATTGATGTAAAATAATTAGAGGGAACACTGAGTAGGGGTGACTGCCCTGCCGCTGGCACTCGCAAGCCTTGTTCTGGGGATACAGTGCGAACTCCAGCACCACCAGCCAGACTCCTTCCACCAGAGCCGGAGTAGCCCCAACGGAAAGGACTCCCCTTCTCTCAGCAAGGCGGAGGCGGTTCACAGGAAGAGAAGGTCTGAGGCCAGGCCACAAGACACCCTGGTGATGGCAAGATTTAGGAGACACTAGGGGTCTTGCTACTGTGCACCCTGCCTCTCCAGGGGCAGCCTCGCCCCATCCCGCAGCAGGGCAACACCAATGAAACCTCAAACCCCCCAGCACAACAGAGACTCAAAACCAGCTTCCATGCCCTAAGGAGAGGGCAGCATGTTCCCACAGCCTTGGCCTGCAGCTTGCTGCGGTAAGCACTCCCCAGGCAACAGCTGAGGCCAAAGATTAGCAAGCCGGTGCCTTTTATACCACACCACTAGGGCCATCGGCCCCCTTTGCTCTTCAAGCTGCAAACCCACAACAAAGAAGAAAGGAAACAACTTTGCCTGCGTGGATTGGAGGTAGTTCGCTGCTAACATGAGATGTTTGTGAGGCTCCAACCCTTCTGGCTCTTGCCTAGAAGGCTATACACAGGTGCTGAGCTAGGAAGATCTGAGAAGGAATGCACAAAAATGCCGGTGCCTACATAGAGCAGGCATCCAGATCCCAGGTAAGCATCACATAGGCCTCATTACCAACAGCATCCATCCAACCGGTAGCCAGACACACCCTTGGATCCACCCTCCATCCGGCCCTCCCTCCATCCCCATACACACCCTTCTATCCATCCCTCCATCCCCATACACACCCTTCAATCCATCCCTCCATCCCCATACACCCCCTTCAATCCATCCCTCCATCCCCATACACCCCCTTCAATCCATCCCTCCATCCCCATACACCCCCTTCAATCCATCCCTCCATCCCCATACACCCCCTTCAATCCATCCCTCCATCCCCATACACCCCCTTCAATCCATCCCTCCATCCCCATACACCCCCTTCAATCCATCCCTCCATCCCCATACACCCCCTTCAATCCATCCCTCCATCCCCATACACCCCCTTCAATCCATCCCTCCATCCCCATACACCCCCTTCAATCCATCCCTCCATCCCCATACACCCCCTTCAATCCATCCCTCCATCCCCATACACCCCCTTCAATCCATCCCTCCATCCCCATACACCCCCTTCAATCCATCCCTCCATCCCCATACACCCCCTTCAATCCATCCCTCCATCCCCATACACCCCCTTCAATCCATCCCTCCATCCCCATACACCCCCTTCAATCCATCCCTCCATCCCCATACACCCCCTTCAATCCATCCCTCCATCCCCATACACCCCCTTCAATCCATCCCTCCATCCCCATACACCCCCTTCAATCCATCCCTCCATCCCCATACACCCCCTTCAATCCATCCCTCCATCCCCATACACCCCCTTCAATCCATCCCTCCATCCCCATATACACCCTTGTATCCGTCCCTCCATCCCCATACACACCCTTCAATCCATCCCTCCATCCCCATACACACCCTTCAATCCATCCCTCCATCCATCACCATTCACACCCCTCAATCCATCCCTCCATCCCCATACACACCCTTCAATCCATCCCTCCCGCCATCCCCATACACACCCTTCTATCCATCCATCCATCTATCCCCACGCACACCCCTCATCCGTCCATCCCATATACAGCTTTCTATCCATCCTTCCACCTGGACCCTCCGTGGAGGTCTCCCATGCCCATACAGACCTCATGCCCCATGCCTGCCTAGGCTAATAAACTCATTGTGCTAGCGTCCATGCCCGGCCTCAGCAATAGCCACACGGTAGCACCTTCATTTGATGCTGGGGAACCCCTGGACAGGACTGCAGGCCTGGTCCCCAGGTCTGTTGTCTCCCCGCCCCGCCCCAGCCAGTGAGGAATGAGAAGGTTGCAGACATCTCAGGGCTGGACCTCGGTGTGACGGCTGACCGTGTTTCAGCAGCGCAGGCGGCCTTAGGGTGGTAAGGCCAGCGGCCAGTTAGGGCACGTAAACCTGCCAGGAGTGACTGTGCCTATGCAGATGTAATGTGCTCACCGCCCCCCCCTTAGCAACCCACCCGCCCACTCTGCCCCCTCCCCTGCTTCCACAACACCCCTCTGCCCCGCCCCCGCTCCCTCCCTTCACAGTGCTACAGCCAGCGAGGAGACCAACACGCCCCAGGGTCCTCCACTGAGCTTTGGCCTGCAGGAGGAAAGTGGCTTAAAATCCCATTCATAAATGAAGCCAGTGCTGCTCTGTGAAGGTCCCAGCCTTTAGATCAATCAGCACCATTTTCTCCTGTGGACAAGGCTTGACAACGCACCTGTCAAGTAAGCCTTATCAGCCCCAGGTTACAGATGGGGAAACTGAGGCAGAAGGCGACATAACTTACCCACGACATTTGGCTGAAGGCAGGCCAGTGAGTCTGCTCTGCGACCCGGGGTCCCCCACTCTGGGATGGGAGATTCTCAGTGACTCTCCCCAATGTGGATTAACTCAGACAGCCAGGCTCAGCCTCCCAGGGAGAGAGACAAAGGGAGGAAGGTGGAGACCAGCACCTGGTTGGGAGGCAGGGCTGGAAGCGAGTTTTAGTTTCTGTCTGGAATCATGGAGGAAGCAGCCTAAACTAGGGGGTTGGGATTTAGGGGCCCAGTCTCCCCCAGCTCAAGGGGGGCTGAGGCATCCTAGGCCTGCCCTGTAACCAGATCACATCTGTGCTGTGCTGCATCCTTGGAGAAGCAATAAACTCCCTCTATTTTACTGGCTGGCAGAGTCTGTTTGAGCCACGATGGGGGTGCAGGAGTCGGGGGAACCCCGGATTCTAACCCAAGCTCCCCTCCACCACGCCCCTACCCACTGTCCCAGCCCAAGATCTCCTCCTCCATCACTCCCAACCCCAGACATATTCTTCCACTCCACACCTGCCACACACAAATCCCCCTCCGGTTACACCCCCTGCCTGCACGCCCCCATGCTCCCTGACAACCCTGCACCAAACCGCCCATCCCATCGCCACCCTGAGGGCCAGGCCTTTCGAAACAGGCCTGGTACAGTCAGTCCTGGGGAGGCCTTTAAAAGAAGAGGGCTTAGGAGAGGCTCAGTGCCCAGAGCTAAGCGTCCCTGCCTGCCGCCCCCTCCGAAGCAAGAGATGAGAGAAGCCCAGGCCCCGCAATGCTGCTCCATGCGGGATGGAGACCGGAGTCTCCAAGTCACTGCTGATTCCCCCAGGCAAAATGCAGACTCCAGCCCAGGTTAATTAACCCACCACCCCCTTGGCCGGGGAACGTCCGTGGAGAAGACAGCAGCTCACCCTTCGTCCAACACCTCCCTGGCACAGCTCCGCAAGATGGCAGGAGCTGCTATTTGCGTGCCATGTTGACTCTTGTGCTCTTTCTTTCTGCTCTGATCCCCAGCTGGTGCAAACTGGTACAGCTCCATTGCCTTCAGTTACCCCAGCTCAGCTCAGTCGGGACCAGCCAAGCCCCTGCGTTTCCCCTTCTCTCTGTTTCTGACTGCAAACTCCAAGTGAAACTCGGGTGCAGCTGCTGGGTGCAGCCTAGTTTGCAGGGCTTTGAGTCAAAAGTCTGCACAGGGTTTGCCTGAGTTTTGCTGCAAAGGGCACACACATGTTGCATGGGTCTGATACCAGGTTTTGCACAATGGTGACCCCAAGTGGCTTTGTTACAACGTTTGGGGCCAATTTTGCCTGGTTTCGGTGTTAGATTTGCCCAAGACTTGCACGGTTTCAGTCGGAGCTTTGCACAGCTGTGGCGCAAGGTTTGCACTTATCTTTCACGGGCCTGTTGCAAGCCAGCAGGAGGAGTGTATGGTTTCGATGCAACCTCAACCCCAGGTTTTCTTGAGGCAATGTTTGATCCCCAGGAGAAATGGGCCAAGCTGCAAAGTCTGGGGTGGACGCTGAGCGGACTCTGCACATTTCCAAAGCTGGGGAATGCAAACAAACCAGTCTTGGATTCCTAGTTCTTACAGAAATGTGAAATCAGGAGAGTTTTGCACCATCCCAGTTCCTTGTAAACATTCCCTACAGCCCCTACTTGTAACGCCAACAGGCGGAACCGAACCGGGGACCTCCGGAGCTCCATGCATGAGCCCGCTGGCTTACAGCTCAAGCAGCAGAGGCGCAGGCACAACACTCCAGAGGTCCCAGATTCGGTTCCGCCTGTCAGCGTTACACCGTCACCGCTCTGCAACCCTCCCTCTTGCAAGCATACAGCCCAGCAAACATTTCACTCGCAGCCCCGCAAGTTGCCAAAGCAACAGGCGCTCTTGGGGCTCTCGAGCTGCCAGAGCTGGAGTGTTTCCGTGTCTTCTTGCTGCTGGAAGTGCTCCTGACGCCGAGTTTCCATTGCTCACGTGCGGCACTTGGTTCAAGATGGGGGCAGCGAGAGCCTACCGCCTCCCCTAATGAGCCTCGGTGAGCTCCCGCAACAGCCCCGGGCCCTGTCCGACCCACGCTGTGCACTGGATGATCTTTGGAAACATCAGAGTCAGGACACCCGAGTCGGGGCTGCTCCTCCCGGTTATCACAGCGGCTCGGGGCTGCCAAACTGAGTCAGGGAAACTGAGTCTGGCTGGGGGCAAGCTCCATTGAGCAGGGCTGGGAAGTCTAGGTCTAGGGTCTAGGAGGTGCAGCTGTGCTACAAAAAAGTTACATAAACTGCACCGATGCCCTTCCAGCATCATCTGATCCCTGTCTGGGGCATGATGCTGCTCCCCTTGAAATCAAAGGGAGCTTTTTCCCTGCTGCTGTTAGAGGAGACCGAGACCTTCTTGGCTGCCCAGCACTCAGAGCTGTTCCGTTCGGTACTCTGCCTCCCCTCTGAGCGAAGCCCTTCTAATATTCTAATATTATCGCCATTAGTGCTTAGGTAACAAACAGAAGCGGGTGCGAAGAAGAGAAAATCGATGGGCCCCGGTCGTGCTGGACAGTCAATACGGTGCGGAGAATTCATGGCTGCAATAAGCCAGGGCTGTCGCATTGGGAGAAGCGGCGCGCCAGACACACGCGGTAAATTATGGACTCCTCTCCGGTGTCTTCCCCTCCTGCCCATCTCTGCATGGGACTCTCCTCTCGGTGCATAGCAGGGGCAGTGAAGAAAACAGGGTTCCAGGCAGTGGGGGTGCAGGGCTGAGGGTGTCCCACACTGGGCGTGACAGGTGAAGCCCAAAAGCAAACCCCACGGAGGGGGCAGGGGGAGTTGTCAAGTCACCATACAAAGCCAGTGCAGAGGCTGGGAACTAGCTGGGCAGAGGTGTTGGAGTTCCTGCCCGGGAGCCTGGTAAAGGGGAGGGAAGAGGGATGACAGATCAGTGGGACACGGGGGTGACTCTGCTGCTGGGGAGGACGGGAAAGACGGCGGATCCTACACTCACACTGGTGTAAATCAGGAGTCACCCCATGCAAGGCAAAGGCGTTACGGTGTGAAACGTGCTGGGGAAAGTGACCTCCCCAGTGGCTACTCCAGATTCACACCCACGTATTGGAGACCAAGAATCTCAGCTCCTAGCAGTTCCCACTCAGAATAGAGTCCCCCACCCTCCAGTTCCCACTCAGAACAATGGAGATCCTCCCCCCCGAGTTCCCATTCAGAACAATGGAGATTCCCCCACCCCAATCTCCCCTTAAGAACAATGGAGAAACAGCCCCCGCCCCAACGTTGCCCCCCATTTACAACAATGGGAGCAGCTGGGAGCTGAATCCCCAGCAAACTCCAGTTCACAGAGACAGCGATGCAGAGAACGCCTGCTCTTTGCTGTTACTTTCAGCTCCATTAGATGCACAGGAGGGGGAAAGAGAATTAACATTTGCCAGGCAGAAACGGGCAAATATTGGTCTGAAAGAAATTGAATGGTAAGACTTCCAAAGGGGAGACACCCAAGAGCGAATGCAGCGTTAGGAACGCTTCCAAAACAGCTGCCGGCATCCCGGGAAACACGGAGCGAATGCAGCGTTAGGAACGCTTCCAAAATAGCTGCCGGCATCCCGGGAAACACCCCATGCAAAGCCACAACATGCCACCAGCTGGCCACAAACTGGAGCAAAGGCCTGCAGCCAGCTGCCCATTTCAGTGGGCATGAGAGACCCTCCCAGGCCGCTGGGCAACACCACTGAGAAGGAGGATGGTCCCTGTCTTCAAGACTCAGCTCAGTTCCACTCTCCGCCACCGACTGCCCCCACCAAATGGGGTCCTGGTCAACTCTCTTAGTCGCTCTGTTCCCCCTCTTCCTAACAGGGTCATAATGCCCTGCTGTGTGTGTGTCTGGTCTATGCAGACTGGGGGCTCTTTGGGACAGGGCCTGTCTCTCACTGCGTGTCCATGTAATCCCTGACACAACCCCTCCACCCTCGTAGCGCAATACGATGTGCTGGCTTCGCCTTTTCGTTTTGTCCTGAGGTTCCAGGGGCTCGTTTCTAATCCCCATCTCCCCAAATGTCTGTAACTGAAAGTCTGAATAGACCCAGCTCCGGTCCAAACACACCCTGCCCGGCTGTGGGTCAAAACCCAAGTGCCCACACAGGCACAGGAACTAAGGGTGTGACGGGGGGCGGGTGCAGTATGGCCCTGCATGAGGGATCCTGGCTGCTGGCCCGACTCCTGGGGCTCTGCTCCTGGCCCCTGGACAGCGGTTGGGGGAGTGAGGTACCAAGTTTGGGGAACACTGCTTTCCAGTTTCTGCAGCTGGCCTGCAGCACCCCCACTAGAAGATGTGTCCCAGGGCCACTGCCCCAGCATGGACTGGGCCCCCAGGAGAGGCCCGAGGCGGTCAGATGAATGAGGGCTGGGGTCGGGTTTGTAGCAGAAGCCGGAGCCTCGGGGGAGCTGGGTGGCACCAGGAGGCCGGCAGGGTGGGACATATTCCGTGCTGAGCTCACTCAGGGCAGTAAAACCAGCCCCCAGAGCCCAAACGCTGCAGGGTGCTGAGGACCCTCTGGCTTCAAGGGATCTCAGCACCAGGCAGAATCAACCCAGAGCTACCCACTTCCTCTTCAGCCCACCAGGAGGGTTTGAACCCCGGCTCCTCAGCCTCAAAGGTGTGAGGTGTCCCCCACCGACCCGCCATAGACCCATCAGCCCGGGCCACGGACCAGCCACCAAGGGGCAACAGAGCCCCGCCCCCGAGCTAGCATGAGCCATGTCAGCCCCACACAGGGCGGGGGCCAAACCCCCCCCTCCACACCAAACAACTCGCCCACAGGCCGCTGCTGGGGTGGGATTTTCCCTTCCCTGCGAAAGCAACACCTCAGGAGCGGGGACGAACGCCAGGCGGGCAGGGCTGTCTCAGAGCGCCGCTGTCTGCTAACCCAGCGAGGCGCGGATTCCTCGGGGCTCTGAGGCGGCCTCGCAAGGGGGAGGGAGGGCGGCCGGGGTCTAATTAGCAGCCCCATTAAAGCCACTTGCAAACAGTGCGCCCGGCGCCACAATTACGCTGAGTCGAGAGGCTGAGCCAGCGTCTTGTGCCAGTGACACCCACGCACCCCCATCACGGCGAGGAAGGAAGGAAGCTGCCGGGCACGGCTGCCGGGCCATCTCCTCGGCGGGTGTAAATCGGTGTCGCCCCATTCATTCCCAGGGAGGGATGTCGATTCACACCCGCTGGGGATGGGGCCCCGTATAAAGCCGGTTCCATGCGGACTCCAGCTGTCAGGCCCTTTCTACCCCCTCGACTTGAGTCCGAACTCCCGCCCCAGCTGTGTCGCCCCAGAACAGTCTCCAGCAGCCAGTAGAATAGAGAGGGGTTTATTGATTTTCCAGAATACAGCATAGACCTGATGTGGCAATAGGAGGGGGGCTAGGATGCCCCAGACCCCTTAAGGCGGGTGCCTGAGCCCGTAGTCTACAAGCCCCCTCCCTAGGCTGTCTCCATCATGTTTCCAGCCCCAGACTAACTCTTCCTCCCCCCACCTACTTCCTTTGTTCCAACCTCCTCCCCCCCCCCCCACTCAGAACCGGTCAGGGCAGCGTCTGGCCCCCTTGCTGGGCTGTGCTCAGACAGGGCGAGTAGGGGACAGCCCAAGCCTAGCGACCAGCAAGATGCCCCCCTACATCACACCCGGCCTTGGCCCTCACTGGCTGCCAGGGAGCAAATTCTGGGCACTCGGCCCCCAGGCTGGCTGGCAGGTTGCGAAGGATGGAGATTTCCTACTCTGCTGGGCCAAGTGGGGGCCCGAAGCACAGCCGGGGCAAATGGCAGCAGCTCCGTGTTAGCCAGCCCGGAGACACCAACCTACAGCCGCTGAAGCCCCGGCGCAGTATCCAAACCGCTCCTAAGTTTCCCAGCTCATAAAGAAGACGCCGGCGTGTGAGCCAGATGCCCGGGCCACGCGGACTCAGCCGCCAGCCAAACACTCTACTCCCCAGGAGCCTGCCTGCCAGCCGGAGCAAGGCGAATGGCTGTTACC